TCAAAAGAAAACTCCAGAGCCTCATGGAGGATCAAGTAATTTTGTCGTGACACATCTAAAATCCATATATCCCCCCTCTCACCCTCTCCGGGATAAATTACGATCGTTCCCTTAGAATCTCGCATCGTTACTCATTACCTAACGAACGGTTTCGTCTCCAGGCCTCTTCTGTAGCTCGCTCTTCCCCGACGATGGGGCAGAAGAGCTTGATTACTCTTTCTCCAAGGGGGCAAGGCAACGTATCCTGCAATCTGATATGGCTCTCAGGGTGGGCGAGATGCTTTGCCAAATCATCTTGGTGATACAGTTTCAAAAATGAACGGATAGTATTTATCAATCTTTTCCTTCTACTACACTTCCGTCAACGATTAATCTACGCAGATTTATCTTTATTACCGCTAAATTCACGGCAAGAGCACTTCAGCCCCGATATTAAATCATTAATCTAGAAGGGTTACTGATGTTTTATCGCTGCATTTTAGGTGGCGGTGCAGGTGACTCTCTTTCATTCCAGAATGGTACAAAGTTCTCGACTTTTGACAAAAATAATATGCAGAATACCAGCACAAACTGTGCACAGGACACCAAAGGTGGATGGTGGTTCAATGACTGTCAGCGAAAGGCTTGCTTAACAGGAAAATACAAAAACGGCATTCGGTGGGATTCTTGGAAAGGATCCAATGAAACTCTCTCCAAAATAGAGATGAAAGTACGCCCAGTTTGACAAAATGTGAACGAACATGGAAATCTCGGTTTTCTCGACAACCGTATATGAATTATCTACTTGACTGTAAACCGCTGTCCAGAATAATGCGAACCCTAAGGCGAGTTCTACCATTTGATCACGTTTGTGAGGTTCGCCTCATTTTCTCAACAAGCGTACAAAAGTATCGCCTTAACTCTGTAGACCTCTGTCCAGAAATAATGGAAAATAGTGCGAGTTTAACTTCTTGAGCACGTGCATGTATGAAGTTAACCCGATCTTCTCGCCAAGCAGATACGTTTTCACATATCTCGTAATGACGACCGTATATAGGGTATCCACCAAACTCTTTCTACCCCTGTCCATGCAGATGATATAGCTCACACGCATCAGGGTTTCAAAGCTGACGTTTCAAGCGTTCGCTTTGAAACTCTTTACGGTGGCTAATTTACATTATGAACTCAGTTGATAAAACAACTACCCCACTGACGTAGCACCACAGTTTGTTTAGAAACTAACCCCTTTATTGACTATGCTTGAATACGACGTGCACACTGGCACTTACCCATGTTAAATTGTAAATAAATATTTAAAACGATGACGAAATTGCGACAGTGGATTTGAAGTGTTCGTTATTCCTATTGTGCAAAACAATTCCTTGCCTGAACGATTAAGTCCCCATTGGTAACATTTGAAATACAAATACACCTTGTGGCTGTTCTTTACCATTAAATATCGTTCAATTCAATTGAAAGCAACTATTATTTGCGGAACAGCAAGACGAACTCGGCTCAACCACTCGATGAGGAAAAGTTTCCTGACTCGACTTGACGTTACGTCATTTTGTCAAAAAGATCAAGAGTAGCACCTAGGGCCCAGCTTACTTCAACACCATCGATTTTCTTTTTAAGCTATCAAAAGACAAGAAACGCGCGCATTAGAAATAGATCAAGTACAAAACGCGCTCAAGAAAGCAAGGCTTAAAGGAGTAAATTTCATTGAATACTCTATGAAGTTGTTGATACCTTTTTAAAAGCGACTTTTGCTACATCAGAAATTCGAAAACGAAAAAATGACTGCGAGATGTATATTCAAGTATTGACTGGGGTCACATTCTTTTTCATCGGGGAACAAAGAACAAATTATAATTTTCCTGGCTCTCGTCATGTGGCTTCGTATCTCAGTTTGTAATGGTACTAGGGACGCCTAAGTGAGGGAGGGGAGGGAAAGTACATGTAGAGAGGTCCACGCCCCATTGAAGCCTGCATCAAATTACAGTTTGACTGAAAGGATTCATTTATCACTAATCACCCCAAGAAAGAAAAAATTTGCTCTTTGAAACGGACACCATGCCTTCTAATCAATTAAAGACAATAACAACAAAAAAAACAACGAAAAGTAGAACTTACAGTCAGTTTTCTTTCTTCTGTGAAACCAAATCCTTCCATTAAAAGAGCTACTATGTAAGTGGAATCCAAGCAGAGGTATGGCGACGTCTTTGATTCATTGGAACAAGCTGCCAAACAAAACCCACAAACGCTGACCATCGTTCGCATGAGAAATTAATTAAAAAAAGTATTTGAGTGTGGTTACTGTAACACATGTGAGTACTGTTGAGTGTAAATGAAGAATCTGACAAAGGGCCAGACTACACTCGGTCCCAGCACGAACTATTTACATTATACCATGTTACCGAAGTATTAATAATGGTAACAGCACCGAGTGGAGTCGGATTTGTTAATTACGAGTATGATCACAGACAGAATTGGACAAGCATGACTCGTACACCGTCCTATAAGTGCTCAAATCGGGCTGGTGATAACCACTCACGTTTGATAGTTGTGTTATAGTTTTGATTAAGAGAGAAATACCTTGTTCGGCACCCTCTTTAAATTGACCAACAGTGATCGTTCCACCCTTCTCTAAGTCTACAATCAAATGGAGACATAAGAAAAAAATGGAGTCTTGTAGTGAGCTTGGTTGTAAGTCAATTGAGTAGTCTACCGTTGCTGGAGTTTGACATGGTTCCCATGGCATGAAAGGCACACTGCCCCTTTCGCTGGGTGGGGATAAGTCCACTGCATAATACGCCCTCCCCAGCCTACCCAGCCAGGTTTTCCAAACAGTTTATCGGTACGCATTTATACTCCCGGGTGGAGAGAGGCCTTGCCTAAGAACACAACACAATAACCTGGCCACAAATCCAGTCCAGTAACCCTTAAGCCATCGCATATTCCCGGTTACTTGTAAAAAGACAACAGACAAATCTGCATCTGCAAAATCCCTGCTTTAACTCAAGGAAGTTATCCACTTCAACAAAGAGACAAGTTCACCATGTCAAACTAACATTAACACTCCCACTAGTGACCAAGACAGAATTTCTCCTTACACTATCAGTACAATATCAAGCAGCCAAGTTATGAGAATAAAGAAAAATATCAATTAGGGGATTATTGGTTGATCCAATTCCAAATTCTCCAAACTAACATCACAAGAATTGTATGACAGACAGTAAGGAGAATTATCAATGAAATCTTGGGAGTTAAAGGGTTAAGCATTGCTAACATCTATGTTCATATCATGGTTTTTTCTTTCTTCTCTCCTATACGCATGTATGTAATCCTGCTAAATTATTCAAGATTTCATGGTAGGTTGTTATAAATTCAAATAGCACAAAAAGTGTAGTTACTGTATTTCTGACAAAGATTTGATACACTTGAATAGAAACATGTTGTGCACAGTAAAAAAAAATTGCGACCTTGTTCAAAATCAGTAGCAACAAAATATGACTACCGATAGTAAGTTGTTAGAGCAGGTTCCATTGCTTTTAATTTCACTTACCAATTAGCCCCAAATCCACTGCTCTGTCATAGTAGTATGAAAAGGCATACATCTGTATTGAGTCAATTCCAACTGGAAAGAAAGAAATAAAAGTGAAAAACGATCCCCAGATCAGAAAAACACATTACATACAGCATGTAAAACTCAAAACAGATTGTAAGAATCTGCCTTCATCAATGTGCAACTTAGATGCTATAGGGTTGAGATAGGACATCATTGGACATTGTTGGACCTAAGTCCTTATAAGTCCTACTATTTGTCATCCTCTACATATTAAAATCTTAAAGGTTTTTCATTGCCAGTAACAAATTTCATTAAGGCGCTTAAGCTGCTGCATGAGAGCAAGTTTGTCAAAAGCATGTGAACTAATTCGACAAGTGAAAGACAAGTGAAACCATTGTGTTTAAAGGAAAACATTTTTTCTATGCTTTTCAATGCCTTTCACATTGCCCACTAACCAGAAATAAGTAAAAAAAAAAATGTCCCTTCTTTGAGTTAAAGGGTAAGAAGCTAGTTTAACTTATTAGTATTAATTACAAATATTTTCAGAAACTTTTCTCCTACATACATACAGTCATATACTTTTTTTATGCTCGGAATTCACAGTGTAGCTGTAGAGCTAATATCTTCGAGAAAATAAGTTAAGTAAAATAAAAATATGCTATATTACAATTCCAATATTATTTACAAACTATATACAACATTATGCATGCAAAGGGAAATATAACTTGTAGATCTACTGTGGAAAAGCTTCATATCTGAGGATCTCCTGCTTGAATTCTAGAAAATTTAATGTTTTTTAAGTATCTGGGAGAGAGTTCCATATTTTGCTAGCTAAGTATGAAAAAGAGTGCAGACCGTAAGTTGTTGTTTTTGGGTTGGGAAGAGCCAGGATATTATTTCCGCGCAAATTGTAGGATGAAGACTGTACAGTGAACATATCTTGTTTTCCTTGGAACAAGTTTCTGTTGAAAATGTCATACCTGGTTTATGAACTTGGAATTTAGCCAGAACTTTCTTGGCATCCTCCAAACATCCAGAATATCCATATCTACTGTCACCACTACAACATGATAACAAGTAACAAAGTTAACCACTTAACCCCTGAGAGTGACTGGCATCTAATTCTTCCTTACAATATCACCCCTGAATCACACAATAAGTTCACATGAATAAAGGACCACTAACTAAAGTAGCTCTTTGTTGTTAAACAAATTCTCCTTGTGAGCACCTTTGGAGATGTATAGAGAACAGTAGGGAGAATATGCATACTGATGTTAGGGTATATGGGGTTGTTTTTATAGAGAGATACTTCTAGTTTGTCACTAGCGTCAAACAAGGAAAAATACAAATCCTTGAAACAATTCAAGCCCAGCAAATTTTTCCAATTAATATGCAGTCTGGTGCTTTGAAAAACTTGTTAACAAAATATATTGTAAGTTCATATATGTATGCTATGGAATTGTGATAAAAGAAGGTTTCATTACTAACCTAATTTCAATACTTTTGTGAATGCCAAATTTCCAGCTTCCTCTGAAGTTGTAATGTATACACGGACTGAGTTTGACATCTACACCATCTAATCAATGTAGAAGAGAGAAATACTCAGAAAGGTCCATTTTTACTGAGACAAACTCTACAGAGTAACAAGTGAAGGAAAGCAACATCCTTACTCCCAGCTGTTCCTGACTCTAATATGGCTGTTCTTGCTGCCATGAGCCCAAGACCTAGATAACTAAAAGTTGAAAAAAAAAAAAAGCCTGAGGATTTGCTTTGTCTTTCATGTTATGATTTTCAATAATTACAATAACTTAACCTTTTCACTCCCAGGGGTGACAGACAAGTAATTTCTCCTTACACAATATCAATACATTTTCAAGCAGTAAGGAGATGAAAAGAAAAGAAAATAGTGATAAAGGGATATTATTTTATTTTACAACAGGTACTTTGAGCTAAAATCATAAAGAATGTAAGGTAGACAGTGCAAAGAATTAATAGTTAGATTTGTGGAGTGAAAAGGTTGCAAGGATTTAACACATCACAAGACCCAGACCAGTGAACAGCCTCTCTATCCCATCCCTCCCTCTGATTTTCTCCACCTCCCTCCCCTCTGTCTCATTTTCTCCAGCTCTTGCAGTTCCATGTACCTGTGAGTGTACAAAGGAAACTTTCTCTTGGCTATTGTTAGATATCTTCGGAATCCCACAGGAGCTTCTTGAAGAGTTTCCTTCAAGAAAAACAGACATGTTATGAGGAAATTGAAGCAATCAATTTAAGAGAGGATGTCAGCATCCATCTAACAAATTTGAAATATTTTGGCAAGTCGCCCAAATTTGTAATTTTTACAGTAACTTTATAACCATCCTTTTGTCTTTTAAAAGCTAGAAGCTTAGTAGATTCTGTCATATCGGTCATTGCTAAAATTGTCTTTGTTTGGATGCTACTTTTCAACATAGAGAAAGTATGTTGGACAAAAATATTCACCAAAAAATAAATATTTCTTTGCCAGCTTCAATAATGACAGGGGATTAAGTTCAGATGATAGAACAAAGGATTATGTTGCAAAATATGAAAGTTGGTGAGAAAATGAATTTTGGATGACTTGCTGCAGTTTGTCTGGTGCATGTTGACATTAACTCTTAAAACAATTGACACTTTGTGATAAAACAATGCAAACTTTAGATTCACAACAATGCAAAGATTTAGCACTGTAGCAAATCCTTAAATTTCAGAAATGATTGATAAAATAACTCCAACAATATCAGTACACCAAGAAAATTACAAAAGGTAGCACAAGGAAATAAAAGCTTTACGTAGTACATCTGACCAAATGTATGGTTTTACCTAACAAATGGATATAATTAACATACATCTACCAATTTTTCATAACAAATTTCTAAAAAAATGTATAGAGCTGGAGGGGAGAAGAACAAAATAAATGAGATCTTTGGCATCGGAAAAGCAGTTCAAACCTGATGAACAGGACACAGTGTGATTTGTGTTGATCCACCACCAAGGTCCAAGGTTCCAAATAGTTTTGAATCATCACTTTTAAGGCCACCTGATAACAAACAATAACAAACATATTTTACACACAAGCCTCAGGAATACACATTTCTGCAATTACAATTTTCAGATTAACCCTTAACCCATCAACCTTTAACTCCCAAGATCTGATCTCCCATCCAGCTGTTACACATTTCCTTGTAATTTAGTAACAAGAATTCAGTGTTATATCATGATAACAACCTCCAACTGATAAGATTGAATAATCTCATCACCTGTTTGTTGAATAATGTATGGATATTGTAAGGAGAAGTTACATGGAAATCAGTTGTGGGAATCTAGGGGTTAACAACCCTAAATTCTTGATAGTTGACAGTTGTTGGATCAAGTAAGTAAACAGTTGCTCAAATACTGAAATTAATCCCAGATTTCAACACACTGAAATGCAATAAGGTACAAACACACACCAAACACAGAGAAATATATAGCTGTTGTAGTGTTAGAACGATTTCAAACTAGTTTGATCTGTATTTCCTTTGTTTAAGGGATTATGGTTAAATACTGTGCCTTAACAACACAGGACCTGAAAAATCAAACTACTGGTAGTTTGAATTTGTTTTGACCTGAATTTCATTTTTAAATTTACACAGCTGTGTAGACCTACCACATGCAGCCTTTTTTAAGGTTTCATCTTTTAGGTTTAAATTCTCAGAATACTAGTTGCATTTTGAGCAAAACAGTACGTAAAATAAATTTCAAATTCACCATGTTGGGAATTTGTCATATTTAACTTTTTGAAATTAATCAAGTACATGTTACACTTTGCTACAGTATCTGTAGATTGAATGACAACAATGCACCAGTTTTCGGCTGGTCTCTCTAAAAATCAGTTTGCAATTTCCAAAGAATACACATATTTTTCTCAAAAATTCCAAAATCTGTGAGAATCCTGCATTAATTTATTACACAAAAGCATAAAGATATTTTGGTACCTAACAAAAAATTAACTGTAATCCAAGCAAACAGCCCTTCATCAGGTCCGTCCATAATGTCAACATTACTCTCTTGAGAAAAATGATATGGTGATTCTTGAAACAATCTTCGCACCTTCAACAAAAGTGTCAAGTAAAGGACATAATGATTTAATAATTTCTCTGTGCAAGTATGACCTTGGGTGACTGTGATAAGGGTTAATCCTTTAACTGTAAGAGTGACTGGCCTCTAATTTCTCCTTTCTATATCAGCCATGATTCAAATATGAAGGTCAGGAGAATAGAGAAAATGATCACCAATTTTATGAAGCTTCTGATTGTCAAGATAATTCCCCTTACCAGTACCATAGAAAATGTGAAAAGAAAAGTGTGGAGATTATGAATGTTAATCTTAACATGTAAAGGGCTAAACGTGCTTCATATCCTACAGAGTGACTCCTGTATTTTAGTTTGTACGCCAGTGAATACCCACCTGGATTAATGGTGACATTTCTTTTAAATACTGAGTCTTAAGGCACTAGCCATTTGCCTACTGCATCTTGAACAAGGAATTATAATGAGTTCAATTAATACAGTCATGTACCTCCTCTAGTAATTGTTTAGAAGAATTTGATGGAAGCAGTCTTAAACCAGCTGTAGCTTTTAGTGCCACAGGGGTGTATTTCCATCTTTGTTTTGGTATGATATCTTCTGACTTTTGAAGAAGTCTCTCAATTGACTGGGATCCCTGTTTAAAACAAATATCAAATTAATCACACAAGTTACAGTACTGTTGCAAGGCACAGCTGTTCCTTGGAGTGTCACTCAGAACTCCCAAAGGATGTCTGAGATGGAGACAAAGACCTTTTTTTAAAATTTGAATCTAAAAGAAAAACTTCAAGGTATCCTTTCAGAAATGGAATGTGACTTGATGGACTGTAGGAGAAATTTGGTAAAATGGTTTAATCACAGGAAAAAAAAAAATTTTTTCATAGAGGATCACTGAAAATTCCAAAGGAGCAGAAGTGTGTGAAGCAAAATTATTATTCAATTACTATCTAACTTCTCCCAACAGTACAGAGAACTTGCATACTGATTTTAGGGTGTAAATAATTAAAAGAATACTTGATCATAAATTAAATTTCAAGAAGAAGGGAGAGTAATAGGGACCAAACCAAAACTCACAATTTGGTTGGAGAGGGGGGGGGGGGGTAGAGAGACAATCATTTTTTTCTCTTTAGAGCAAATTTCTGTACTAACCTGTTTTGGATTGTCAGCGTATGAAGAAAGACCAGGCTTTACTTCGTGGAAAAATTCATTAGAAAGCTCCAGTTGTCCTCCTTGATAGATCAGATAGATCAATAAAGTCAGAAAAAAAAAAAATTTACAAAAAGACTTCACATCACAGTGCTTGACATTGGTCACCAGTTGTCAGTGCATTTTCTGTTTTCTGTAGTGTACTGTAGTCAATACATTTTATTGCAGTATTCAAGTAAAATGGTTAGGGCAATCAAACTTATACCACTTTGGAAAAGTTGGTAGATGCATTGCACAACCAGGATGTTGACCACCTGGAATGGAAATTCCAAAATGACAGGCAGAAATATGTACCAAATTCTTTCAGAAAACCTGTTGCAAACCTAGTGGTAGTGTTCAATGTTTGTATAAAAAAGCCAAATATTACAATGCTTTTTTAGTGGACAAATTTTCCAAGATTGTGCATACCATAACTTGCAAGGTAAATAATGTTTCCAAAGAGTCAATAATCTTGTAGTTTTATCTGTATACTCAAGCTCAGAAAATTCATCCACTTAAGAACCACAATGATTTTAGTTTTTAGACATCTCTTGACAATCAGTTATTTCTACACGGTCTATCTCGAACAGCAGTCAATTACTGGTAAAATTTCCGCACAGCCCCATACTATTATAAAACAAATCTGTTTTCCCAATGGCAATGTATTGTTTTTGTCATTGTTTTCTCTATCCAAGAACTGAATGCATAATGTAGGACGTAGCTGTGCGAAAATTTTACCAAATGACTGTTCCGACAAAAGATTCAGCTAAACTCAAGATAGTTTAGAGCGCGGTTTTGTTAAACAACAGCTAAACTTTAACCTTCGTTTAATTAATCGGCCCTAAGATTAGTACTCCTCACCTTTTCCTCTAACAAAGGTAAAAACATGAATTCGACTCCCCGTACTACCAGCATCAAACATAATTCCATGGACCTCGGCCAAGGAGCTTTGTTTAGGCGTTAAATATAATAGTTTTGGAATAGAAACGTCCGCAAAACTGACGTAGAATAACAGTGCAGTGAACAAGACAAAGAAGGTTAGTGTCACAACACGACAACCTCGTATGTTATATATTCTATGAGGTGGGGCAACCATATCTGCTTCACCAGGAAGTTTAGCAACTGAAGTGGTTGAAGAAGGCATATAATTGATGAGAATAATAAATATCTAACAAATTACATCCGAATCCCATAATCCATGCGTGATGTGTCGAAATTCTACGATTACGGAGTGATGAACGTAACACAGGAGTAATTTGTAACCAAGCCTCCGAAAGGAAACTAATATTCCTTGCCTTTCCTTCGCTGGATGTGCCTCGTTGAAGGCTTCGCCTTCGACTGAAAGAAAATTTTGCGATATGTAGAAATATTTTTTAAGAGATTTCTTATCTGAGCATTTAGTTTTCTCCTTCATTTTCTTAAAGCATCACTCAGTTCTATGCTAAGATAATTCTTGTTATTTCTAACAAATAATCAACTATTCTTGAGAATGAGTAATACATTTTGACCTCAAAATTTTTTACTGTAATATTTTTTATAAACAGATAAAAACTCAGCGAAGCGTGCTGGATCTCCTGCGTTGTCTTGAATGCCAGGTACAGAACAATTCAATTTAATAAACTATTGAAAGGCTAAGCAAACAATGAGCCTGTACCTAAATTAGAAAAATAAGACAATTTCTTGCAGACTTCATTATCTCACACCAGTAAAAAAAAAAAAAAAGGGATCACGAAGGTAATTAAAATCCAATTCATTGTGGTAAATACAAACAAAGTTGAGAAGGTTTTCTAGATGATTTGAAATTTTTATCCTATGGAAAAATTTGAAATTTTGAAACAAATTTGTTATTTCTTCTAATAATCTACACTTTCAGTTCTTAATCAAGAAACACAATCAGAAGTAGCAGATGGCATACTCATAATTGTGAGGCTTTTGCTAAATTAAATTCTTGTCTTGGGAAAAATAACTCATGAATAAATTTGAGAGAGTTCATTTTGTTACAAATTAAAAAAAAGGTGTTTGCACAATGCTGACATCTTAGACAGAGATGTTATAAATGATGACAAATTTTTCTTTTGCATGGTAACGGTAACCAAGAGAAAAAATTTATTTTGTTTGGAATGGAGAGAGGAACATATACAAGTAGTTTCAGCTGCAAAATGGTTTACCTCTTGCAGCTTTGGTTGTAAGTTTGACTAGCATCTAATTCGTCCTTACACTACCACGCCTGAATCAAGCATTAATTAATGAATCAGGAATTAAGGACAGGATTAGCAATTAAAAAAGCTCTGAATTGTTTAATTCTCCCCACCAGCACCTTAGGAAATGCAGAGAGAACAGTATGGAGAATATGCACACTGTTATTAGGGTTAAGAAAGAATCATAGATGTTTTAGGAATGGCATAATGATAAACCCTGTCTCCCAAGAGTGACTAGCATCTAATTTCTCCTTACAATATCACCTCTGAATCACATATTTAGGTCACAAGAATTAAGGCATTGATCAGCAGGTAAAGAAGTCCTTGACTGTTACACAAATTCTCCCTGTATGCACCTTAGGAAATGCATAATACACAGTATGGAGACTATGCATGTTGATGTTTCGGTGTGAGGGGTTAGGTTTAGAAAATCATAGAAACTAATCAGAACAAGTTAATTCAACATCAAATGAATCCAATGAAAACTTGATGCAGACACAAATGTGACAGGAATTAACTTAGGATTAAATGTCTGTGACCTAGCCTGCAGAGTAGGTGTAATTTTGGCAAGCAAGTGCTCAGTATTTTCTTAACGAAAATTATGGCCACCATCTTTGAATTTAATGGCAGCAGAAGGCTGGGGAGAGAGAGAAATTTGTACCAAGGGGGCAGTTGATGGTCAAAAATAAGGAGAGGGGTAGGGGTGGGGAAGAGATTAAACCTTTCCCCCACCCCCTATCACCACTGTCCACTCTAACTCCAATTCAAACATGGCTGGTCACATAAACAATCGCAAGCTTACAATGTTAGCATACACTAATATGACACCTGCACTGCAGGCTAGTCTGTGACCAAGTTACAAGTAGTTCTAGTTTTTGACCCTCAGTTTTTTTACCCTATGTTGCTTTTGGCTAAGAATGCTTTGACTATTGGGCGAATTTTCCTTGTCAGTACCAAAAGGAAATGCATAGATATGAGCATAAAAAATAACGATACTGATGTTAGGGTGTACAGAAAAAAAACACATCAACTTCAGACACAAATAACATTAGGATATCCTCGAATATTAACAATGCTTTATTGCACTTTCCAGTGAGATGTTACATTCAGAACTCTGCCAATATTTTTAACAAAGTTGTTAATTTTCAAAACAAAAATTCTTTAAATCTGCATTGTTGCTTAACCTCAGTGAACACTAGTGGAACTGCAAATGAAAAAAATATTTAGTGAATTGAAAGAACACTCAAGCCTTCAAGGGAAATCAAAAAAAGTTTGGGTTCTTGGGGGTGGAAAATAAATGACTGGAAATACTGAAAGGAAAAACAGGGCGAGTACAGAACATCTGTTTGTACAGTGGCATTTTAATCAAATTAACTACAGAATAGAAGCTGGTCCAGAAAAAATAGACCATTTTACATTATTGGTAGCTTAGAAATTAAGGGAGAATAACTTTAAGTTTAAATTAGCCTAAGGTGCTAGTTAGCAGTAGTTTAAGTTATCAGGAACTGCAAAGTTAGGGAGGACAGGTCTTTGCTTAAAAAAGTAAGGGGTTTAGCAAACCTTTTGAAAGCCAATGTCTTTAGCATACTGTCTAAAGCATCGTCTGCAAATGTTCAGTCCATATTTTCTGATAAGGCCATGATGGTTGAAGCAAACACGGCTGTAACGAAAATAAACACATAACAGTTCTTAAGTCACAAAGATTTCTACATGGTGAATAAATGATCATTGAAGTTACATGTCCTAAAGTAAGATGAGTTATTGTTGATCTTTCTATTTACAGAAAATCATTGCAATTGTGTGGCTGCAGCAAAATGACAAGCCAGTCATTTTATAGATGAAGCTGCAACTTGGTGCCAAGTCGCAAAAAAATTGGGAGAGACCTTTCGCCTGTATGTCGCCAGTTCTCAAATTTAATGGCTGTATCCAAAGAAACTGTTTTCCTTCACAGAGACTTGAAATTTTTTTACAATTTTAGACGCCAGTAAACAAAGTAGTTATATTCCCACGAGTTTATCACTAAACTATTAGAAAAGAGTTTCAACATACAACCAGTTAACTCAAAAATTCGTCCTGTAGCACGTTACCAACATCAAAAACTTCAAAATTCTTAAATTCAACAGCAAATATGAAATTTTAAAAGCGAAATTCACAGTGAAATCGTGGACAACCGGCAAACCATATTCAATTTACAGAATTTCGACCACGTGTCCGCCATCTTGAAATTCAGGCGGACAAGCCGTAAATTGAAAAGCCTCCAAATAACCCTCATGAACCACACAAATACTCAAATAATTCGATCAAAATATAAAGAAGTGGTTTAAATATGTCGTACGCACAAACTTACCAGGATCTTGAACCTGGTCCGTACGTTCTTGGATGAGAAAACCACACATTTGAGTGACCCATGTTGAAAATTGGAGTAAAGAGAAAGCCTCGAGGTTAACCCTGCGACCATATGCATTCTGGGAGATATCAAAAAAAGACTTATCATGGATGGGGTGGGGAGATATTTTTTCCCTTCGGCCTCAGACATTTGAGGGGAACTCCAATTGAATAAAGTTTCCAGTTTTTCAGATTAAATTACACTTGAAAATATGGCGTTTTTTTTTTGGCGATTGAAGACAGAAGATGGCATCTTGAAATGGGTGTAGATTAAATGTAAAATTCATGCGATCCCTTCAATTTTAATTTATTCAAACCAGCTTCTTGTCACATCTTCAAGCAAAGCAAATAGGCTTTGAATTTTCGTTTCCTTGAACTTTCCGGGCATAAAATATTTTCAGTTGTTAATCAGTCAGGTGCCATGGTAAGGGAAAGAGACGAGTTTAATCCGCCAAGCGCGCTTCGGCTACCATATTGAAACTAATTTCGGGTTATTTTTACCCAAAAATTGGCCATCCTACCACGCAAACTCAAGCTGGTTAGTTGTACACACATTTGTGCTTAGAGTTTAAATAGCTCACAGCTACCCCACATTTTCGAACGGATTTATCCCTAATACACGCGCATCACTGAACTGTAAAATCCTTCTTTCATTTATTCTGTCAAGCCTTTAATTATGCAAAGGGTAATCAGCTGCTCATCGCATCACTCACAGTTCAGTTTCGACCTCATTGAAACTTTCGATATCTCCGTAGTCATTCTAAAATCCTTTCAACACCGGCAAAAACAGAAAAAGTCGATAAAAAGGCCTGGAAATCGGTAACACGAATACTCGAGCATACTCGGTCGTGCGTGTACTCTGAAAATAATTTTGTAGATAATCCAGCCTCTGATTGGTTTGAAATTTCTGTTTTTTCGTTTCCTTAGCGACAATTAGGTTAATACTTATTATTAGCCCAATTTCTGTCTTGTTCTGCGTCAGTTTCAGTTCATTTCACCCGACTGGGAAGGCTTATTTTTTCTCTCGGCGACATTTACCAGTTGATCGCAAAAAGAGTTCATGGAAATTAAGGTAAAGATCATCATGTTAAATCGTTTTTTCTATTGTTATTTTTTGTTCGCATTCAGAAGGTCGAATTTGATCGGTTTGAAAGCATAGTGAATCGCATCCGTTTTCATAGTTTGTCAACGACTCATCAGTGTTTGCGGCTTTGTAATTTTTCACGCCTATTCGATGACCATTTTCTCACGCCGGCAAAACTAACGCCTGGCAAGGAATTTTCCAATCTTGAATCATACAGTCTTAACAAAAGTTAACACTTAGAGAGAGGCTAAGCAATTGACTTTTCTATAGCATAAATCTTGTAAAAACAATCATTGATTTTAGTTTTACCTCAGGCAGTTTACATCACCGAATGCTGAAATCAGTTTCAAACTGTGCGGATATTAGGATCTATTCCTAATATTGTTAGGATGAATAAGGCACTTTGATCACTTACTGAGCACTCGGAGAGATTAAAAAAGTGAAATTTTCACGCCAGAAAAAAAATCGATTACATTCAGGGGTGAATATCTAACGCGATAACTGTGAAACTGCCACTGACTTCATGCAAAAAAATCCTCGCGTTAGAATGTTTGATATCTCGTGTTTTGGTCAGTGGTGTTAGTCTTTCAGTGTGATTAAGCCAAGCGAGCTTTCGCCTCATTCTTGATCGACGTTTGATTAATCCGATACATGAAATGTTTCTATATTTGAAGACATAAGTTGAAATTGAGCTAAGGATATCTCGTCAACCAGAACTTTGTCTTTGATCACTCGCAAAGTTTTACTCTATGTGGTATTATCATCACAAAAGCGGCTTGTTAAAAGCCAAGTTCATTTTATCCGGATCGTTGGCAGTTGTAACACCTACGGCGTTGTATGCAAAACTGGTTGCATCACTCTAGTTGACCCCATTAGCGTGGAAAGGTTTTATATTTCATTTTTTTGTTTCTTTTGCTCCAATTTCTACTTGGTTATTATTAGCATAGACAAGTATGAAGCACGATTGTCGTGCTATTTACCTAGTTAAAATTCCAACGTTCCATCTTGTGAAATTCGTTGCAGATGCAAGAGCAAATAACGGCTGAGTAAAAACCAGTGACAGGGATTATGCAAAAGTTGTAGAATAAAATAATTTGATCGCCTTAATCTGCTCGAGGATCTATTTTTTTCGTTTTAATTAAACTTTGTTTTAAATAGCGGATCAGGATGGCAAATATTGCAAAATCAATCAGAAGGTAGTCGACATTAAAAAATAATAACTTCTGTATTTATGACATATTACGTCAATCTAAGCTTGGCGAGGTTTCCTGTTTACGCAAATACGAAATGAAAACGAGTTCGAAGTCCATTGGCTGTGAAAGAAACAACCGTATCTTGAAAGTGACAGCTGCAGGCTGTAAACAAATTGCGTTCTTTTGAACGTTTCGTGCCAGGAAACATTTAGAATTGTACCTTGTGAATAACGATGAAAATTGTCTCGAAACAAGCTATGAACTGCGTTGCACATAGCATATATACCACGTAACGTCAACCGATGAGCGTGCTGAAATTTTTTGCATGTAAATTATTAGAGACAGGAACAGCAATTTCAGTGTTTTGATTAGTATCCTCAAACACTTATCTTCTAGTTCAGTAGAGCCAACGTAACAAAGAGGGCCAATTAATGATTAACTTAGAAAAAAAGTTCAGTTCGATTCGCGTATTGCGTGGCAATTCAGCTAATAAGGAAGACAATTTAAACTAATTCGGCTCATTTATATACAAAATCCATCCTGATAAAGTACTAGGTACTAAATTTAATGAAACAGGCTTTGAATGTTGAAAAACATATGTTAATTTATTCATGTGTCAATAATATTTGTCCTATTTAAAGATAAATTATGTCGTAACGATGAAACTCAGACATAAATTGCAGAAAACTGAATACAAAAACGCTGAAAGTGAAAGAGGGAAAACTAAAAAAGGGTATGTTCTTCGAAATTTTTTCGGGTGAAAAACGCCTTCTTTTTATTAGTCCATCAAAGTCTAATGAAAACCGCAATCAAGTAGACATATCCAAAGAGCTAAGTAAATTTTACAGGTGCCTCATATAATTTTCTGAGGGCTCATTAGCATATTACTGCACAATGCATCCCTATTAAGCTTATTAAAGATAACATCTGCAAGGAGCTTCACTCATACATTAGTGTTATTTGTCATCGCGAAGTCAAGGCTTCTCAGAAAGTTGCAACAAAGCAATCAGTTTGAGGTAACTCATAAAAGCCTTCTTTGTGAGTTTATAGCATTTGAATCTTGCGTCATGATTCTCCGTCATTTTGTTCTTTTAAATTTTTTTGGTGATCGGTGAAGAACTCGTTTAAAATTGACTGCCGCAAGTCTTTTTAGTGGCAAATAAATTCCTCTAACTGAAGCAGACATCCTGTTTACAACTTAATTTCTCATGTTCCTGTTCAAACATTTTTATGAGCGTTGGGGAAGTCTCTATGCTAAGTTCATCGGCACCCTAAGGATTCTGCGTATTTTTAACACTAACAATATTGCAAGGAAACACAGCTTTAGAGAAAGATGTTTTCCTGGAGGCAAAACGGCGAAGACGGGTCATGGTTTCAGAGTGTGTAAACGAGTGCAGTTAATATGTTTTGAAAGTTTCAAGCCTTAGTCTTCAATAACACATTTCTTGTAATTATGTATGATCCGAAATACTTATGAATTGAACATCCATGGCTATCCAAACAAAACAAATGATTTGTAAGTCGTTTGCTGGGTCTATGGACTCTTAGAGGTTCTTAATTTAATTCCAGCTATTTCATTATTTCGTTAGGCTCTTTTCTATATTTTGTCAGTTATCAAATTAAAGTACCTGATGACATGATTTGCTCTTTTTTGCAAGTACAGGTTTCAGTAACAAAATGAGTGCAGCATTAAAAGCTTTGTTATGCAGGACAAATTCTTCCTCTAAGCTGACGTCGCCAAAATTTTTTGCATCAGTCGAGTTTGACGGCTTACAATTCTTGCAGTGTTTATACAATTCACAACTTCCCACTCTCATCTATTCGGAAACATTGTTTGCCTCTTAGTTGCCATATTGACTTTGGCCTTAGTGTTTTTAACCATGTGTTAATTTTAATACTCTTTGCTTTCACTTTTACAGATGACTTTCCCTCACCGCCTGAAGTTTGCATTATTTTTTATATGTTGCATGCAACATGTATATGCTTCAAATTCATCAGTAAACGCGTCCAGCTCGTCCATGTCGGCGGCGGCCAATTCATCCACGATAACACAGGCAGACTCATCAACGACAGTTGTTGCCCCAACATCTGCAATGTCTTCAGGTAGGGCGTACACCACAGAAGCACCAATGACGGCGACAACAAATGTGTCCTATACATCAAAAGCGTCCGCTACAACCATAGTACCACCAACCTCAACAACTCACGATACAACCACGTCACCAAGTGCTTATGTGAACAATGCAAGTGCGCATGTCCTAACATCATCATCCATGTTCACCGCGCCCAATGGTAAGAGACATTTTTCTTTTCTTAAAAACCACGGAAGACAGAGTAGAAATTAGGAAGGTTAGAATTTGGGTATCTAGGGGCAAGTCCCTCAAGAATAATTCTTTTAATTTTCAATTTTTTCTTTCTTTTCTCACGTTTTCTATTTCACATGATTTCATTTTTCTTTTTTTTTGTTTTTGTGTGAAATTGTCAGTGTCAGTAACTTTTTCACTGTAAGTTAAAAACTTTATATTATTAAAAAATGATCGGGCGTCTCAGCGAATCATTATGTTATAGCGCTTCATTCATTGCCAGTCTCACTGATATCCGGCCCTAGTCTCTCACGGGTATCCATGCTAACAAGTTACCACGTGTAGCATGCGGTGAATTTTTAATTTGTATTTGCATGGCAAAAAAAAGGTTTAAATAAAACGAAAATATAGAGAAAACTGTGAAATAATAGCATAGACTCAGCCATATTAAAACTGCTCATTATCTAGAATTAAAGGACACGTTTTACATTGTATACATTGACTGCTTGTAACCTGAGCTAGATGCATTGATGCAACCTATTTGGAATTATATTTTCACAAAGATTAACTTTCAACGTGTTACATTTGCGTCCACTAGTGTTAGTTAAACTATTACGTCATACTGAAGAAAGTCTTAAAGGAATCCCGCTGGTTTATTCTGAAACTTAGAGCTGTGAAAAAGCTCCTACGATTAATAACACATGATATGTGAATATGAAAGCGATCTTCTTAGTAATGAACTCTGCTTTTGCAGTAGTGAAAATAGGGCCTGACAAAAAAAAATTCAGGCCTGTACGGGATTTGAACTCTGCAATACCGGTTATGTGCTCTACCAACTGAGCCGACAAATCAATTAGGAGCTGATCACTATGTTGATTTCAAATA